AATTGGTAATAACGATATAATTAATGTTATTATCTCTCCACTTTCCCACGTTTCTTACCGTAGCAGTGATGAGTGCTTGACTGGGTTACTCATGCCGCCACACAGTCTAAAGAGTGCTTTACCAGAATGATGTCATTTCCTGACAGGCTTCTTGATGCTTGTTGAGGCATTGAGAGGCTGATCTTACGGCCAAGAATGCTAAGGTTCGGTAGTGTCCTTAGATACACAGTGAGGTGTTTGGCGTGCATGCTCTCGGCCGTGTAATATCTCTAGCCGCGTTAGTGCGCGTGGGTGCTCAGGGTGTGGTCCTATGCCCGTATCTACCTGTCATACATACATCACCTGTCAGCAATGTTTATTAATGTGAAGCCATAGAGAGTGACAGGGAGAAAGAGAAGAAGGAGGAATATCTAATTTCACATAGGGAATGTCTGATGAACACTGTCTATGTGCACGTTGCTCACAGTTTCATCTTAGGATGGCAGTACATTCCCAACCACACAGCTAGACTCCTCCTCAGTCAGGAGAGGGGAAATACCACACCAAATCATCACTTGTAGGAAGAGAACTCTGGGCAGCTAGTGTCCGCTTAGTGATCCCAACCTCTCTTGTGTACTGAACACTCCACGTCACCCGGCAAGACCTCTCGGTGTGCACGCTGCAGGTGTCTCGATGTTACGGCTCCTGCAACTCGCTCGCTCGCCCTGCTGCGACCAAACGAGGATGGGTCGCATGCACCGCGCGAGATGCAGCTTCTTCTGGTGAGGGTAAAGACGCGCGCTGGGAATGGGGTACTCAGTTTTGACTAAGCACAGTCATCAAACGTTTTCAAGATGCATTCTTGAAACAGGATCATACGCAACGGAACAAATTGGGGACGGACAGCAACACACTTGTATTCATTGAAATACAATCTGTCGTATGTTTGTCCACCAATTAAACCCACCCTTAAGGTCCGCGTCTGTCTCGGTCAACCGAAAAACATAATTGTATTGAATACATAGTCGTCTAAACGCAGTCTTTGTGGGCTTGTGTCTCACTTCAAGGAGAATGTCAGTCAAGTCCTTGCAAGTAGTCTGTCGCCGGGTTATTGCGGCTGTCCGTTCTGTTGTGAGTTGATAGATATGTAAAAAGGTGTTGAGGGTGAGCGTTGAGGGTGCTTTAGCGTACCTGAGATTGTGTGTGGAGGATACGAATTTAGACATGTCCTGCATGTCCCTGGTGTGTTGTGTGAAGCTTGGGACAGGTCATCCTCTCCTCTGCGAAGGCACAGACGTTCAGATGGGCCCATGCCCGAGCCCACGGGACGCGGTGTCTGTCAGCTAGCAACACATGTGGTGCGCGGACAGTTAGCGGTGAATAATTGATTGAGACATTCCAGTGGGGCGGTCAACGTGGGAAAGGCTTATTCATAATTGTCTGGCTACTCGTTTATCTCCCATCCTCGAGGTCGCTAATGTGTTTGTAAGTTGAGAAGACGGTCAAGTGACTAGCTCCTTTCTCCACGATCGTCTTTCCACTCTCTTACGTCACCAGAGTGCAATCACACATTGCAGGCTAATACAAACACCTGGTAAACACATCAATTTGCCATCCTCAAGTTGTCGAAGAGATATCTCAGCCTCAAAATTATACACGGCAAACTGAGGGATCAGTGTTCATATTGTCAACGTATACAACAATGACTCTGCGGAGAAACATCAGAGCGAGTCATCGCGATTGTTCTTAATTTCTACGATCGAACTAAGAGAGACAGACATGAAAACGAGCCTAAATAAGTG